TTTGGCTGCTCACCTGTGTTGATAGAGTGGCCTTGTGTGCTAAGTGTCCTATAGGTCCCAGTGTCTCAGCCTCCGCAATCACCTGAGGTGGACAATCTTGGTGCACCCCTTTGTTGGCTGGGTGCACAATCTTGTTGTAGTTAACCCTTGACTGCTGTTGGTATCACTGGGAGGAGTTGACCTCCAGGACAATTGGCTGTGAGGACCAACTGTGTCTATGATGGGAGAACTTCTATGCTGGAGACATGTTTATGAGATAAAACTTGCTGCAGTGGGGCTTTGGTGCTCACTGAGTCTGCTCCTTGAGTGTGTCACTTATGGATCTGAGGAGTTGTAATCCTGTATGATCTCACACTGACCACTGGGTACATTGGCACTTGGATCTCCAGGGAGGTGCCTGAGGCCACCCAGCTGGAGCTACAGAGAGATCTGAAGATTCCTCCTCTTTGTTTGAGGTTTGCCCAGATGAGGCCCAACTGTGAAGTAAGGCAGGCTGCTGCTGCTGGACCTTGGGCCCTTTTTTGGAAGCTTTGGAGCTCTCTGACTCAGCTGCAGTTTGTTAGGATTTAGTCTGAAAAAGAACAGGCCATTTATATGCAAACGCTGCTGTGCCCACCTTGGGTGGGGTTATAAATTGGGTGGGGCAGGCTCTCAGAGAATCACCAGGGCAGAGCAAACAGCAATGGCTGCCAGTTAGCCCTGCTCTGGGGAGGTCCCCATTTCTCCGTGTCCCACGCCCTCATGCAGGAACAATAATCTCTGTGAGTGCCTCTGAGAGAAAGCTGCCCTCCCATTCCGGCCTGATGTGAGACAGTCCAGTTTCTCCCTATATGAGTCTGGGTCTCCAGGGTCTTGCCCGGAACTAGAGTTTAGAGCAAACAGGCACTTGTACCTCCTTCCTGATTGAACAAAACAACAGCGCACCCAGTTGTCAGCCCATTTTGTGTGTGCCTCCTCCCCTCCGCACCTCCACATCTCCTCTGAGTCTCAGTGTGCTTTTTTCTTCCCTTCTAATTGTAGAATTTCCACTCAGCCAGCTGTCCCGTGTTCTGGATGGTTTTGTCTTTTAGTTGTAGTTTTGATGTAGCTTTGAGAGACAGCAAGTACAGATGTTGACCTATCCCGCCATCTTGGTTCTCCTGGACAAATTTGGATAGCAACTGTGTCCTTAAACATAGTTCTGCGGACTTCATTCATTATTCTGAAGAAACACAGTGTGACTCCTAGCATCATTCATTCTGTCAGCACATATTCGTTACATATCTGTTAGAATCAGAGCCCCTGGAAGACAGGGGAGATGCAAATGGACCTGATTCACCTCTGGCCACAGCCCACAGGGATGGAAACTGCATGTAAGCTTCTCCACGGAGGCCACCTCTAGCCATTCCTCGATGCAAATAGGAGATTCTAATTTTAATTCTGTTTCACCTGTGGTAGTTTCTTCCTTAGCTTCCTCCATTCTCTGTAATATATTAAAAACAGGAGCGTTTTAAATTCATACTTTGTCAAGGAGCCCAACTTCTAGGAACTTTGGTTTCCCCAGCTGCAAAGTGGAGATTATAACCTCACAAGGAAGCTGTTAGAAGCAAGTGTCAAACTGTGAAACGGTGGTGGTGATGTGCACACGGTTTGAACCATAATCAACACTCGGCCAGTTGTGTCCCCAGCGCCACCGGTGTTCCGCCATTGCCGCCCTTCCTCCCATGGCAGCTTCATCCCTCTGCTCTCTTCCATTTCCTCTGCCATCTTCCTACTCCATCTTCCTCATTCCATCTTCGCCAGAGCTTTTGTGTTGGGCAACCAGATTCTTCCTAAATCATACTTTTCTTCTCTCCTGCTTCAAATAAGCCAGCCACTCCCTCGGTGGCTCCCGGCTGCTCACCAAACAAAAAGCCCGGATTCCGCTGTTCCATGTCCTCCCCATCTCACCTTTTCGTCGTTTCCATGGTGCCTGGAGAGATTCTCTGTCTTGTCAGATTCATTAGCGCCGGCTTTTGGATCTGGTTCATCCTTCAGACCTCCCTCAGAGTCTGTGTCTTGTCCCTTTAACTGGGTCACCCCTTCCTATCCAGTGAGGGACGCTGAAGGCATAGTGTTCCTTCCGTAGCATTTATGAGACATTGAAACCTACTTTGGTAACATTATAGGGTGATAATTAAAGGCATAGGCATTGAGGCCAGACAACTGTGGTGATTAATTAATAAAGTGCCTTAAAAATAACACAGAATCATTGTAAAGCACCCGATAAAAACCAGCTCTCGTCGACATCATTGTGTGTGTTTCTCATTTCTCTACTAAAATGTTCCTCCACGACAATGACCTTCGGGTGTGGATCCTGCCCTTCGCCTGAGAACTGCTGTTAGGTTTCCAGGGAGAATTACTTGCTCACAAACTGATTTCTCACAGGCTCTGCTTTACTTGTTTTCAGGGTTTAAGAGGTGAGCTTTTCTTCTTTGTAAGAAATATGCTAATCACCATGATTGATGTGTAATTTCAGGATATAGTTTTGTACTCAACTTTTTATTAGTGTTGATTAAAAAACTCACCCATGTACAAGAGTATGGATGTGAATGAACAGTTGTTATGAATATCGCAGCAGAATTATAATGAATACCCCCACTGCATGCCTTCATGCCAATAAGCTCCAAGTCACTTGTTAAGAACTGTTTTAAAATCCTTTCATATGTGCCCCTTTTCTTGCCAAACCTGTTTTTCATAATGATTGGAAGGAGGTTGGGTTGCTGAAAAGAGAATACATTTTATCTGAGGATCTCAAAGCACCTGGCAGGTTGCTTGAATTTTGTGGACTGGGGAGTGCAAAGTTCACAGAGCAGTTCCCTGCATGTCCCCAGGCAGCCCTGCCATCCAGGAAGAGAGTTGGCAGGATATATTGCCTTCCAGAATATTCCAGGCTTTCCTCAGTAATTCCTCTTATGGCTGTTGTGACTGCACAGCAGTCAGAACCCCCGCTCACCTTGCCTGATGAAAAGATGGGGGCAAATTCATGGCCTACCTGGAGCAATGGTATTGGGCTTGACTACGGATTTCTTATTAGCTTTATTTTCCTGATCCCATTTTTTTCATTATTATTTTTTTCTTTACCCATTTTCAATTGAAGACATCTTGTTTGCATAGACTTAAACACCTTAAATCTTTTCAAACAAGATGGGCTATGTATACAAAACTAATTTTTACAGGGTTTCCATATTTTTGGGAGACGGAGGCAGGCTGTATAGCTGAAACTCAGGGCTTTGGGAAAGAGTCACACTTAGGTTTGAATTCCAGCTTTGACACTTTGGACCAGTTATTTAACCTTTCTGAGTTCCCGCTCTGTAAAATGGAAATAATACTCCATAACTCACAGAGATGTCTTAGGGATTAAATAAAATAACTTGTGTAAATTACTTGGTGCATAGTAGGCTTTCAATAAATGTCAGTTCCCTTCTTATCCCCGTTAATAATGCTTATTAGACTATATTAAAAACTAGAACCAGACTGTGATAATGCATTTCTTTATTACGTATTTAAGCCAAATAACTAATTTCCCTCAGGGGGAAGGGAGAGATATGCTGAATTAGTTTCATTTTGTGAACTTACTTATTAGCCTTTTTTTCCTTCAGCATTATTTGGCTTCATACTCTGTAATTTAGTTTTCATGCAGCAAAAACCGCCACAGTTCCGTATTCCTTAACTCTGTTGCGATTAAAAATAATCTATTATTACACTGGCCTCTTATTCGAAATCATTATTAATGATATTAACAGCTCGACTGTGTTTCATAAGGACTCGGTGCTGACAAACTTTTGTTCTCAACGGTTTCCCTGAGGTCTGAGGATTTAAGAGGATCAAGTTTTAAATGGCTCCATTACAGCAGGAGGGAAACGGGGATGGGGGAGACCTGCACGGCCTGTGTTCTTTCGTGCTAATTTTATACGCTTGCATTTAAGTGCAGCCACGTTTTCTCAAGGACAGGAACTAGGAGAGGCAGGCAAGCACAGCGGGAGCTAAGGAGCTGGGACCACGGCACCTTTAAGAACCCAGGCTTAGCTCGGCCTCCTTCCCGGCCCACCTCTGAACCCTGATTGACAGGGCGCCGGGGGGAGGGGCCCAAGGAGGCCCCGGAGGAGGCACAGGCAGGGAAGTAGGGGAGGAGGGACCGTCTTCCCTCCAGTGGCCAATCGCAGAAGGGGGCGTGGCCCACCCTCTCTCAGAGGGCCAATCAGCACAGGGGGCGTGGCCCCTGCATCTCCTCCCTCTCCCTGTCCTCCGCCTCCTCCTCCGCCCCTCCCCCTTCTCGGCCCCCCTTCCTTCCCTCCTCCTCCTCCTCCTCTTCCTCCTCCTCCATCGCCTCCTCCTCCCCCTCTCCCCCCCTCCTCCTCCTCGCAGGCTGTGGTTCTGTGTTTCTGGAGTCCGGAGCCCGAGCTAAACAAAAGCAGGAGCTGGCGGGGCCGCCGGAGTTTGCGGAGCCGGAGGAGGAGCGAGCGGCGCGGTGCCCGCCGCGGCGGGGGGCTGTGGCTCGGCTCGCCCACCCCTCCGCGATCGCCGGCCGGTGGGGCGGGGGCCGCGGGCGGGGGAAAGTTTGCTCGCAAACCCCCTGCCTGGTTCTGCCTCCTCCCGATCCCTGCCTGTTTGCAAAGGGATTAAGCCGGCGATCCGAGCGCGGAGCCTTCCCTGCCTCGGCGGAGCCGGACGGAGCGCCCTGAGCCGGCTCTGATTGCCCCGGTCCAGCGGGAAGGTGGTTTATTTTCCTTGCTCTCTGGAGTCGACACCCTCCCCGGCAGCCCTCCCTCCCCCTCCGCCCCGCAGCCCCTCCGCGCCCCCGCCCCCTCCGCTCGCCGTCCTCCCGCCGCCCTGCCCGGGGCGGCAGAGGGATTTTTCTTTTGGTCTCTTCCCTGCCCTGCTTATCCTGAAAGGGCTTCGGAGGCCGCCGGCCGGACCGCAGCCGGAGCTTCCCGGGAGCGCGCGCAGGAGCCGGGCCGGCCGGGCGGCGCGGCGCGGAGATGGACGAGCAGCCCAGGCTGATGCACGCCCACGCGGGGGTCGGCATGGCCGGGCACCCCGGCCTGTCCCAGCACTTGCAGGACGGGGCCGCGGGCGCCGAGGGGGAGGGCGGCAGGAAGCAGGACATCGGGGACATCCTCCAGCAGATCATGACCATCACCGACCAGAGTTTGGACGAGGCGCAGGCCAGGTGAGAGCAGCCCATTCTTCCCCTTCGTGCGTGTGTGTGTGTGTGTGTGTGTGTGTGTGTGTGCGCTCTCGCCGGGGAAACAATGGGAAGCTAAGCAGCACAGCGCTTTCTTCTAAAATGTTGTTTCTTTCCCCATTTTGAGCAGCAACTCCGCGCGGAAAGCGGCGGCCGCGGGGGGAGCCTGGCTGCGTGCTGCGGGCACGGGCTCCAGCCCGGCCACGCTCTCCGGGCACGGAGGACGCTGCCCGCGGGCCCAGGCGGCCGGCACTTTTTACCGCTTTAACGAAGTGCCTCGGAGAGAGCGGGAGGCTCAAGTTTTCAGCAGATTTCGTGTCTTGTGGGTGAGGGATCCGGTGACATGACAGCATAAAATGTCCCAGGATCAAGCTGCTTGCAAATGGAGTTGACTCTTTACCTAAATGAGAGACTTTTGATTTTTTTTTTTCCCCTCCTGGATGGACTCCTACAAAATTGATTTTTGTTTCTTCCCCTTTCTCACCTCTTAAAAAAAAAGCAGGACAATTATTTGTCACTAGTTGTCAACTCTCCAGAAAATACTGTGTATCCATTTAATTATTGTTAAAAAAAAAAAAAAGGCTGATGGGAAGATAAGAGGTACTTTTACTTTTAGACGTATTTGTTGGTTTTAAGGAACTAGGGCATTTAGTGTAACTTTATTGTCTCCATTGGAGTCGGGCGCCTGACCTCCATGGCAGGGACGTCTGGTCCTTTAAGAGGGGTGGGGGCACAGCCAGGCAGCTTCCCCTGCCTCCTCAGACCACTCAGTGCAGCTGGAGGGATGGACGCCCTGGGCTTTGGTCTGCTCCGTCCTCTGCACGGAGGGCTTGCCGATCTGTAATCAGGAAACATAACAAATAAGCCCGGCTTCTCCTCGCCCGCGGCCAGCAGTGTGGTCTCCACGCCTGGGCTTTCCAGCAAACTCCCTTCAGAAGAAAACAGACTCCGTGCAGCCCACTCCGGCTTGCTCAAGGCCCGTCTCGAAAGGAAGAATTTAAAAAATCTAATGACCACAGATGTGTTTACAGTTACCCAGCTTTGTTACATATCTCAGTCTTTTTTTATTTTTTAAAAAACATATATACACAAATCCTGTACTCCAAAAGACGTAGTCACATGGGAAAAAAAATCATTATATGTATTTTTGTCTGAGGAAAATAGGAATTAGAGTTGAGAAATGAGAAGAAACAGTTAAAAGTGTGGCTGTTAGGAATCCCACTCTTATTTCAGCTGCTAGACACGCCACATGCAAACTCCCAGCCCCGGGCTTATGGGGTTTGAAAACTGGGAAATGTCCGAAGGCCGGAGCTGTTGTAAATTTTTTTAAATTGGCGAAAGTTTTCCCACATTAATGGCTGTTCTGTTAGAATTTTATTTTCTGAAGAAAAGCTAGGAGGTATGGTAAGTGGGAGCACTCCCACTGGCATGCTCTTTTTGAACTGATTTCTCCATTGCATTGTTCCAGAAAAATAAACTCGGCCATAAGCTGCTTTAGTAACAAGTTTGTGAAGTGGAAGGGCGGGTGAGGCGGGCGACTCCCCACTTTCCTGATGTTCAGGCCCACTCCTTTTTGGAAAACTGAGGATGACCCGGCTTGGTGGGTTCCCTCTTTTAGTGGGCTAGATGCCAAGAGGGTCAGACACAGTGTGGGGTTAGGGAAATTTCTGTCCTCTAACCTCATGGTGTGCTGGGGAGATGCAGTGTTTCTGTTCAGACGGCTAGGCTTTCTTGTTTTGTATTTCCTTTGCATTTGGGCCTATGTGTACATGAAAACTATTTTAAAAGCCTCCTCGCCCCCAAGAGATCTTTGCTACATTGAAGTCTTTCCACCCACAGAGCCAAACCACCACTAGGCTTCCCTCTGGTTTAACAATGTTCCTCCTCGGCAGATTCTGGATCTGATGTTTCTCTCTCTAGTTGCACCTTCATTACATACATGTGTTATCTACAAAGTAACCCATTAGCATTTGGACACAATGCATGTGTTTGTTTTGATACTCCCAGCCTTCTCCTCCTCGGCTGTGGAGCACAGACCTTCTGGTTTCTGTTTTTCATGAGCACGGCATCTATTTTTAATTTAATTTTTTTTTTTTTTTTTTTTTTTTTTTTTTTACGTTCAAAGGGATTAAAAAAGAATTGCATGCATCTCAAGTGCCAGGGGTTTCCATTTATCTTTACAAATTAATTTTAGTTAGTACACAGAATTCCTTTAACTAACAGCTGATACGATCAGAATTTTGTTTCCAAAATAATATTCTTCTGCTAAGTGCTTCTATAGTAAAATGAGGGGAAAGGTATTGTTTTGTTCTTCAAGTGCATTTTGAATGCAGACAGGCTGAGAACCAGGTAAATCACCAATCTAAGAGGCAGAATTGTATTTATTTTCCCCCCAATGGGTGCTAGGTCCTAATTGTAAATAATTTAATTTCCAACACCTGCAAATACTCGCGGTGTGCACGGGAGACATGATGTGAACACAGAGAAATGAATTTACTCCCCATATGGGCACGCCTGCCCCCTGGCAATGCATTTCCATACTCTTTAACTCGGGGACTGAAATTTTATAAATTGACAGTTTTGCTCAGAAGACCTTTCAAGCATCTTGTGTTTATGAGAATACGGGGGAATCTGCCGAATGAATTCGAGCACATGGATGAATTAAATTTGAAAACACACACACAGCCCGAGAGGCAGGCAGCTCCCGGGCTGTGGTGGCGAGCACAGATTTTATAAAACTGTTAACCGGTGCACCGGGCCTGCATACCCACGGTCCAGGATGGCGTTATCGGGTTGAGCATTCCTCTTTGATTAAGCTACTTGAAAACCAAAGCAGCATTGCCTCCATGGGCCTGACCTAGGTTCGCTCTCGTCGGCAGTGAGAGCCCCGCTCGCCCTGAGAGTAACGTGATTCTCTTTCTGTGGCGGGGCTCTCTGTTAAGCCAGAAGCCATTGAAGCTGCTGCAGAGTTCTGCTTGGGATCTAATTGGCTTCCATGTCCATGCAGCCCCCTTGCCTCCGCGGCAGCCTGGTCCTGAGCAGTCCGCCTGAGCTGTGCTGTTGTTTCTTTTTTGTAGAAAACACGCGTTAAACTGCCACCGAATGAAGCCGGCCCTGTTTAACGTGCTGTGTGAGATCAAGGAGAAGACAGGTAGGACCGGCCGGCGCGTCCTCTGGCCAGGGGGCCCACTTCCCCCGACCCGGGGCCTGATACTTAAACATTACAATTGCAGGGGGGGAGTTCTCTCCACATCGATCGCGTGTCCCCACACGGCGTCCTGGTTCCTGTAGGAGAAGCACAAGTTTCAGACAGGGATTAGCCAGCATCGCTGGTTCCTCAGCTCCACTCCGTGCCCGGCCCCTGGGAGAACAGGCTGGGCATGGAGGCTCTGAAGGAAGTTTACAGGATCAGTGCCTTTCGGGGAAATGTGAAAGTAAAGGCTATTTCCGGAAGGAATGTGTTTTGGCCCGTATTTAACACACTCTTTGGGGGAGTTGTTTAAAGTTCCTTCCCATTGTCTCTGGCCACCACACGGAGCAGGCCTCGGTTCTCCCGGTGCTGGCTGCTACCTGTGCCGCCCGCCGGGCCCGGGAGCCCATGATGTCACAGCGGGGGGCGATGTCACCATGGGGGGACGATGTCACAGTGGGGGGACGATGTCACAGTGGGGGGACGGTGTCACAGTGGGGGGCGATGTGACCGTGGGGGGCGATGTCACCTCCGGGCGACAGCTGGGCTTGGGCGCAGGGAATGCCAGGAGGTCGCGCTTTCTGTTGTGTTTTTACTCTCCGGGCCTCACGGCGAGGACTGACACACTTATGACACGTCCCAGGAGGGCCTTTAAATTTTAAAGCCACAATTATAACACAGCAGCCGTCCGCCCCGGGGAGGGCGCCTCGGGGACAGCTGCCCGGACAGGACATTCAGCCGCGTCCTCTCTCGTTTGTTTATTTTAATCCTTAGTTTCCCGGAGCGGGTGACTCTGTGTCTCTGGAAAAGAAAGCTTTGAGCAGACGGCCTGATAGCGGGGCGGGAAGCCGGGGCCGGGGTGACGGAAGGTGAGCGCCGGGCCTGGCGGCTGGCGGGCTGGCTGGCGGCCGCGGGAAGTACCTGACAGCTTCGTTATTTATTTATTTCTCACAACAAGGAGTGTAACAGTCAATAATTCATATCTAAACCATATAAGCAAGGGCATGACATGGATGAAAGTGACAATAAATATGATTGCATGCCGGGTGATGCGCCTTGATGGGCGCACATAAAGAGGGCTGCGCGCGGCTCTCTCTCCGGGGCGCGCCGTGTTTCTCTTTTAAAAAATAAATAGTTTCAAGATGTGGCCGTGCGAGGGGCGAGGTAATTACTCGGGGCCCGAATTGTATGAAAAATTAGTGAGCGGCTCCTTTGTCGAGCGCTGTTTGTGCCGCACAGAGCATCCCAGACAAAGCTCCGGGCAGAGCCGCCAGGTTGCCGCGCTGACCTTATTGCCAGCCGCTAATTGCATTGTTTTAGCTGCGAGACACCTTGGGAGAGATTTATGGGCTGTGCACGCAGATAGCAAGGAGCTGGTTCAGGTTGTCAGACTTTTTAGTTTTTCTTTTTCCGTGAGCCTGGAGCAGGAAACCTAAGTACATGTACACATTTTTGTTGTCTTTTTTTTTTTTTAATTTTATTATTTTTTTCCTTTTTTATTTTTTATCTTAATGCTTATTTATTGTGAGTATTTATTTGGTTTGGTGACATTGGTTTGTAATCTAATATGTGTCCCACGGATCTTGATTTATAAAATGTGGAATCAAGACATAAAGACATATTTGAGAATCCAGGCTAAAGAGGCTCTGTTTCTGAGGACACTTTATAGATTTTTGTTGAAAGGAAGCCCATCAGGGCACTTACCTGTATGTTGTGGCCAAAGTGTTTAATTCCAGCCTCTAATGAAAGCCTTGGGGCGTCAGGGAGTCCGTGGGAGTGGGGGGGAGTGGGCGGGCCTGCGCAGACCCGGCCGGTGGGCTTGGGAGCTGGTCCTCGCTCCGACGCTGAGCTGGTGGGAGAGCAGCGACGCTGGCCATGCTGTTCTCCCGAGGTGTAATGTCTTGTCAGAATGTGTATTTTGTTTTTTAATTTTTTTGTCATTCAATGACATTCATATTTGGAGATTTAAAAAAAAATCTAAATTAAGGGTTCTCGTGTTGGCTCTGGAATAATATATTTTAAAAATGCTTTGTCAAAGGCTGTGAATTGAAGATGGTCGGCTCACTGCCCCGTGGTAAGGGAAACACACAGAGTTTGGGAGTGAGAGGGTGTCCACGGGTGAAAGTGAAAGGTAAAAAATGGAAAAGAAAAAGCCCCCCCCCCCCCATCCTCTGTGTGCTGGGGGAGGGGAGGAGAAGCTGCCTGGGATGCAGGGCGCTGGGGTTAAAGGTGGGAGTCCGCGCTGGGGGTCCCAGAGCAGCCGCTTACCTCCCAGCTCGGCTCTGCCACCGGCCCCCGCAGGCCTGCCTCCTGCCTCCCGCCTCCCGCCTCCCGCCTCCTGTGTGGGTGCAAGGCAGGCACACCGCGTGGAAACTTGCAGGAGTGTCTTTATCTCTTGGTCCAGAGCTAGTGGAAGGTCACTGGGTGGTCCTGCACGTACATTCCTCCAGGGTGTCACTCCTGTCCAGCCTCTTTGCTTCTGCCAAGGATTTCCCTGCTGCCCACCATCTCTGGCCCACAGAGGCCGGGCGCAGGGTGCAGGGCGCAGGGTGCAGGGCGCAGGGTGCAGAGGCTGGGTGCAGGGTGCAGGATGCAGGGTGTAGGGTACAGGGTACAGAGGCCGGGTACAGGTTGCAGGGTGCAGGGTGCAGGGTGCAGGGTGCAGGGTGCAGGGTGCAGGGTGGGCTTTGTGGGTGTTGTGTCCTCCCTGGAGGGTCACAAGGTCACAATTGGCTCAGCCGGGCAGAGGGGCTCAGAGGAGCCGGGCATGGCATGCCTTTGCTGCTTTGGCTTTTGTTAATGATTTTACTTGGGAAACTCGGAGCCAAGTAGGAAAACTCTCTGATTGTCTCACCAACCTCTGGGAAGTTTAAGGAAACGCAGGCACAGGCCCCCGGAGCAGGCGGCGGCGACACACGGTTGATGGATAGGTATTTGAGTCAGGAATTACCGTGGGGATATTCGGGGAAAAAAGAAAGAGCCCCTGTGTTTTCTCGCCTTTGAGTGCGGGTGAGTTTTTATTTTCATACCTTTGTGCTTTTTAAATAAACGGCGAGAAAGAGCGCCCGGAGGAGCCGCAGCGGCCCAGCCCGAGGAGCCACTCCGGCTCCGGCTCCCGTCTCCGGCTCCGGCGCGGCCCAGGGGCTCTGCCTGCTCCGGGACAGGTTTGGTGGGGGCTGGGACCGGGTGGCATCGCGTGTTCTTTGTTTTCGGAGCCGCTGTGTCTGGGGCAGCAGGCTGTCTACCTGTGCATGTGTGCGTGTGTGTGTGCGCGTGCGTGTATGTGTGTGTGCCTGTGTGTGTGCGTGTGTGTGCGCTTGTGTGTGTGTGCGCGTGTGTGTGCCTGTGTGCGTGCGTGTGCGTGCGTGCGTGTGCGTGCGTGCGTGTGCGTGTGCGTGTGTGTGTGCTGGGAGAGTGTGTGTGTGCGTGTGTGCGTGCGTGCATGTGTGTGCGTGTGCGTGTGTGCATGTGCCTGTGTGTGTGTGCGTGTGTGTGCGCGTGTGCCTGTGTGTGTGTGTGTGTGTGCTGGGAGTGGGCCGGCGCAGGAGCAGGAGAAAGTCAGAGGTCACGCTGTGCAGGAAGCCCGCGGGGACTTTGGTAAACTCCCTCCGTCTCTTTCATTTCAGCGTCAGAGAGCACTGAGGGTTAAAAACCAGGAAAACAAAAACTCCTGCGGCCGTCCGCGGGGAAGAGGCCCGCGAGCAGGGCGCCGGGCGGCTTCAGTGTTGGAACAGGCTGCTGGCAGCGCCGCGGTCTCTGCCCAGTGAAGCTGTGAGGCCGGGAGGCATCAGAAATGCTCTCTGCTTTCCTCCCCTTTGTCTCTCGGTCTTTCTCCCGGCGTTTGGTCAGCACGGCCGCCGGGGCTGTGCTCAGTTACACCGCAGCCCCTTGCACACCTCCGCTCGCCTGCGCTCCTGTGAGGGGAGCGATTACTTACGGGAGAATAGTTTGCGTGTGTGCACACACGTGCATGCGTGTACATGTGTGCTCTGTGTGGGTCGGGGCTGTGGGCGGAAGCTGTGCGCCACAGGACAGGGGTGCCGACGGCGAGGCCAGGAGACGGGATGAGGGGAAGGAACGCAGACAATTCCCAGCTGCCTCTGGGCAGACGCCTCTTGGAGCAGAGATGGCCGGGGTGGCTTTCACAGAAGTTTGTCTGTAGCAGAACTCGTGTGTGTGTGTGTGTGTGTGTGTGTGTGTGTGCGCGCGCGCGTGTGTGTGTCCACCGTCTGAGAGAGGTGGGGGAGCCGCCCAGCACGGGAGCTCACCTCGGCCTTGTGACAGGACGGATGGGAGGCACATGTTCCGAGAGCGCTGGGGTCAGACCCCGTGTTGCTCCCTCTGATCGGAGCAGAGACCGTGACATGATGAGCAGTGTCCCTGCTCTCCAGTTGGTGTTGGATGGTCCATTTTGGGCAAATTCTGGCACCTGAGAGGCGGGAGCAGGGTGCTCAGAACACCAGGGTCAGACCTACCTGAACAGGATTTGGGGAACTGGGTGTCATGTCTCTAACAAAGAGGGGCTGTGAGGATTGGAAATGAGACTGAGGACGCTGGGAGAGGATGGAGAGGGAGAGGCTCGTGACCTGGGAGGGGGGGGTGGGGTGGAGAGGTGGGGGAGGGTCCCAGTGGGTGGGCTGCTGGGGGGGGGGGCGCTGTGCTATGAGTTCAGCTCCCTGCTGGTACCAGGCCCGTCGCACTGTTCCTCCACCTCTACTGTCAATATGCCCTTCTGGTTGTTGGTGGCAAATTACAAAAAATACCCCGAATGACCGAACTTGGATGTGGGACACATTTATTTAAGGTGGGAAGGTTTGTCATTGTCGCGGGAAGCCTCGCTTGGCTCGGTCTGAGCCTCGGTTTGCACGTGGCCGGAGCATTCCGCCTTAGCACTGGTCTCACGCTTCTCTCCTTGGAGGCGGCTGTGATTTTAGGTTGGGGAAGTGAATCTAAATATAGTT